TTTCCACAAATGAGTGAGAATATTTCTTCTCTCTCTCTTTCTGCATCAGGCTTAGTTCACTTAATGACCTCTAGTTCTACCTATTTGTTTTGGGGCCAGCAATCGAACTCAGGACCTTCTATTTGCCAGACAGGTGCTGGGCCAGTTATATCCCCAGCCCATCCATTTCATTGCAAATGACAAGATTTAGTTCTTTCTCATGAATGCATAGTATTCTATTTTATAAATACACAATATTCATCCATTCATACACCAAAGAGCTTCTGTATTGATTCCACATTTCAGCTATCATAAATAATGATGCAATCCCCCTTTTGTATGACAATTTTTTTAAATATTCTTAGTACATACTCAGCAGTACCATTGCTGGATCATATTGTATTCTATTTTAGTATTTTTAATCTCCATACTCTTTTCCATATGGGCTACATTTCATTTTTCATTCCCTTTTTTGCCAACAATTCCCTTTTTTCTATGCCTTCTCCAGTATTTCTTTTCAGTCTTTTTGAGGATAGACATTCTCCCCATGGTAAGATGCTACCACACTGTGGCTTTTTTAAAAAATATATTTAGTACAGAGTCTACAGGGTCTCACTACATAGATTGGACTCATAGTGATCCTGTTTTCAGCCTCCCAAGCACTGGGATTACAGGCGCACGCCACCACACCCAGTCTCATTTGTAGTCTCAGCACACCCCAGGGGCAGGACCAGCATGACAGAGCAAACCCCTGGCCCCTGCATCTGCCTAAGCAGGAGCTTTTATCTGCTGAGCTATTTGGCCAGCCCTCTTTTTCATTTTCTTTTAATGTATTTAGCACTGTGGCTTTGATTTGCATTCTTCTACGATTAGTAAATTGAGCTTTTTTTTTTTACATGTATTTGTTGACCATTTATAGTTCTTTTGAGAGATGTCTGATAGCTCTTTAGCCCAGTTTTACTTTTTGGTTTTTGGAGTTTTGTTTTATTTAGACAGAATCTCACTTTGTAATTCAGGCTGACCCTAAACACTCTATGTAGTCCAGGTTGGCCTCAAACTCACTGTGATCCTACTGCCTCAGCCTCACAAGAGCTGGAATTACAGGCATGCACCACCACCATATCTAACTTCTTTAGTCCATTTTTAAACTGGATTGTCAAACAGAGAGGGTTTAATGTGATCAAGTGGTTACTCATCATATAGGAGAACCTGAAAGTCAAAGAGGAGACACTGAGGCAACCCAAAGATTAACCACAGCAGGAAGATGCTACCAACTCCAGGGATGGGGACAACAAGGGCAGTGCACCACCAGAGCCTATGGGGGAAGCTGCCCAGTGGACCCTACAGTCATGGCAGAGACTGAGTCTGTGTAAACAAGCTGTCTGACTGTAGGTAGCCTCCGGGATAAAAAGCTCACCACTGGACATTCCACAGAAGCAGTACTGGGAGGAAAACTTTGCCCCCCAAACTCAAAGTCAAAGGGCCTGGGAAACAGAGCTTCCTCTGGCTCAGGGAAAAGCACAGGCAACAGTCATTGGGGAAGAGAAAGAAAGCAGGGTCTGCCATGTACTTCTCTTGTTACATCTCTCTTACCAAAGAAACTAATGGATTCTCTATCCTACATCAAGGCCATGATATGAGAAGATTCTAGAAACTAAATGCCCATCAGTGGGAGAATGATTGAAACTAAATGCACTGCTGAATAAAGTTCTCAGGCTTCATGTTTAGTACAAGAAGCAAAGCCTAAAGACTTTTTGAAAGAAAAAAAAATAAAGAAGAGAACAGTGGGTGAATACATAGGATCAAGATCTTAGGGACTAAGCCCAAGAGAGAATAAAGGCAGTGGAAGATCAAATAGGAAGGGAACTAATTTTTCTCTATGTCTCTTTTTGTACTATTTGAACTCATCCAACATGACAGTTACATTCCCAAGTAAATAAATGAAACTTTTAAAACTTAAAAATAATAGGGGCACACAGAGAGGTTGTTGGTTATTAGCCCTTCAGGTCTTGAATGCCATTCCTTACTGTGACCCCCCTCTACCTAGACCCCTTGGCTCCTGTCCAAGGAGTCAGTGTATTCTGGCTCAGGTCCAGTGACTGATCACTGCCCTCCTTGTCACTGTCACCAATCTCCTGCTCCTAAACTTTTGGGCACTTGCTATATACCAGGTGTTGTGCATTTTACATGAATGCCCCCTTTCAATCTTCAACACAACTGTATGCCATAGCTACTATTATAAGTAACTTGGCCTTAGTCACACACTTGGTGGGAAAATGATGAAGCTAAAGTTAGAACGCAATCAATCCAGGTACAGAAACAACACTCTTCGCCCTGGCATCCCTCTAAATACAACCTACAAATGTGGAAGATGTGGCTCACGGCTCCTGAGCCCAAGGCACATACAGCTACAACATCCGCCTTCCCAGGCCCTGGTGGGGGTCCCGCAGAGCCACACACACCTGAACATCCCTTTTCCATTTCCACAGAAGTCTCAGGATGCTTGGGAGCACACAGGCTGAAGCACTGCCCGTGACCTCGAGCTTATTGCCGTGCGCGGCAGGTGAGAGACCCGTCCGTGTCAGCTACCCAGAGGGAAGATGGAAGACTTATCTGTTTATTTTGATAAATGTAAATGAATTCTATTACTTGTCAAAATGTTATCAAGACCCCAGTGAAATAAGCAGCTTTTTTTTTCCTTTTCAGGGTGAATGGAGTGAAGGGGGAGAGAAATGAATGTTCAAGACAGATTGCTTTGATTTGAAATGAAAACAAACAACTTAAAAAAAAAAAAGCTTTCATTATTTTGGAGACCTTGGCATTCTTGCAGATACATTCATGAATTAATCATTAAAATCCTGAAATGTGGAATAAATCATGTGGTTTTCAATGCCAACCCACAATAAAGGGGACCTCAAACAGTTATTAAGATACAGTGCTTTAAACTGCTACTGCCACGAATGAATTTTCTCTAGGAATAAAGTGAATGGGTGTGGGTGTGCATGCATGTGTGTGTGTGTGTGCGTGCATGTGTGTGTGTGTGTGCATGTGTGTGCATGCACACAGACATACACACACACACACACACGCCTAAGGCAGCCGCAGGGTCTCAGGCCAGAATTGTGTGCAAGCTAGTTCCAACTGTGTGTCACCATAGATTAGTGCTATTTAATATCTGCTAATGGAATGGCTCTGTCTGCCATCGACAGCAAGATCAAAAGAGGGCCATGCAGCTTTTAAATTATTAGCACTAATTAGGCAAATCAAAGAGGAGGAGGGCAAAGAGACCAGAGAATGCATTAACAAGAAAGCAAGGGGATCACTACCTACCTGGTACTGTCAAGACCAACCTACCAAGCAGCCAATTAGTGCTGAAGACCCTTCCAGAGCGACAAAAGAATGTGCAGGCCTGCCTCAAGCCCAGGCAGGATGGCTTCATTACAGTGAGTCCCTAATTAAAATGTAAAGGTTGCTGATCATTGCATAATTAAATAAGGTGGCAGGCAGTAGGCACCAGCTTTCCAGGAATTTCTAGGGTTCCTTTATTGAAGCCACTTTGGTTCACCCTCCAACCCCACCCCCAGGGGGTGGGAGGGCGGGCCTGCCTCTGTCCGTGGTCCTGACAAACACACTTCTAGATAGCTTGGAACAGCAGAAGTACTTCTAGAGGCTGTTTCTAACTACCCCATTACCAATCCTGAGAATCACTGTGATTTTCTTTAAAACCCATTTTCAGACTAATTAGTCAAGGAAAAAAAAGGTAGGTAACATACAGAAAAATAGTGACCAAGCCTCATTAACTTTCAGCCACTGCAATCTACATTAAAGGTACAGAAACTGAGGTTGTCGCCTGTTCATGTAACCTTTTTCTCTCTTCTTTTTTATCTTCCAAGAAGAAATGCTGACTGAAGAGTTTCATTGGGAATTAAACTCAAATTTGGCATGGAACCTAACACAGCTAACATAATGCCATATCCAGAGTGCTGCAGGTAGGAAAAGAAGACAGAGTGGATAAAAAAACTACACCAGTCCCACACCAGGAAATAGGCACCTTTTAATACTGAGTTGAAGCCAGGCATGGTGCCTGTAATCCCAGCACTCAGGAGGCTGAGGTAGGAGGGTTGTCATAGATTCAAGGCCACATTCAAGACCAGTCTGAGCTACGCCATGAGATCCTGTCTAATAAAACAAAGACAAAAACAATAACAATAAGCTGAGTTGGACATGATGGTGCACACTTGTGATTCTAGCACTCAAGTAGTTGAGGAAGGAGGATTGCCAAGGTTTCGAAGCTAGCCTGGGCTATGTAGAAGAAAATTTAAGGCCACCTTGAACTACATAGAGAAACTCTAGCTCAAAAAAGAACCAAACATATATCATGTTGAGTGGGATAAATACCCAAGGAAGTCACACTAGGGAAACTCTGGCTTCTCAGAGCAGTAAGAATGGCTTGATGTTATTGTTATCAGCTCAGGCTCTTTATATACTTGTTTCAGCCTTTAATCTGCACTGCAGCTTCTCCACATGTCTTCTTACATCTTTGTTCTGTTTTCTTCCTTCTTATTCTTCTAGTTCTTCTTGTGTTTCTCTTGCTTTTTGCTCTATTTCACATCTATTTGTTCTTTGTTCTGGGGGTTAGCTCAGCTACTTGTAGATGCTAGACCACCGCTGTCCCATTCTCTTTCTCCCTTACCTAATCCCTCTGTGACCAGCTACTAGATCACCACTAACCAAGAACACTGTGAAGTTTCCATTCATTCACTCTTTGATTTTTATCTGTGACTTCTTGGTTTAGCTCATCTTCACTGGAATGGTCCAAAGAACCACTTCTTTTCCAGAAATTTTAGGCAAAGCCTGGGATGATGTTTTAAAGACCACTTAAGGTCTGGGGAGCCATGACAGAAAGTAGACACTTGTGGCTAGACCGGCTGAACACGGCTGTAACAGCAGCTCTCAGGAGAATAACACAGGACTGTCAGTCAGCCTGGACTGCATAGTGAGACCCAGTCTCCAAAAAAAAAGTGTTGTATGAAAAGGGAGACAGTTAGCACTGCCCCTGAGAGGGCTGGAAGAGGCCCCCGGGCCTGACAATATGCACATGGTTAAGGCATTGCCACCTACTTCATGGCATCTAACCACTGTTCTTATATATCTGTTAACTCAGCAGCATTGAAGACAACAATGTGCACTAGAACCACCACTGCGGAATACCTATCATTTTGTTTTGTTATTGTGTACCATTTCTAACTTCTTATTATTTTTTTATTCTCTTTAAAATGAAGACAAATAACTGCCAAAAATGTAGTTAATCATTTAAAATGTATGATTCCTTCTTGAGTTATCTTGTTACCCATGATTTTACTACAATGTTAGTAGTTTGTCTATCTTATGTATCCTTTATTTATTAAAATCCAATATTACCACCTACATCACTTTCTGGATGTCACAGTATCTCACTACATACACTTACCTTTTATTTTTGTGTATGCTGACATGGTTGGTTTTACTACTAAAGTGTGATATGAACAGGAAGAGGAAAGAAGGTGGTAGGTGTCTGCATTAGTACAGGATAGGCTGCAGTGACTAACAGACCCAATCATGTAATGGTTTGACACAATAGAATTTTGTTTCTTGCTCCCAACTAGTTTAAAATAGTTGAGGAATGGTCTGTTCTCAAAGGGAGAGAGCATGCATTTTACAAATGCTCTTCAGGGATTAAATAGCCTCTCTCTTTTATTGTGAACCAGTGGGTCACTGGACAGATGGGCTGAGAAGGAAAATGTGCCTTCAGCACAAAGCCAGTGACTGGGCGAGCTTGTGAGGAAACATCTTGTCCTTCCCTGTATGGTTATTAAGTGGTACAGGTTGCAACTGGCCCTAACTTCCTCCATGCATAGTTTCCAAGACAGCAAAAAGGAAGGACAAATATGAAAAGGAGATCTCTAAACACTTCCACTCACACTTCACCGGTGTAGCTCAGTCATATAACAGTAAACAATGCTAGGAGAGGTATTTAACATGTCTCACAAAAGACAGATGCCAGATTGTGGGCAATGAGAGTAAGACACCAATCTGCCAAATGAGACATGAAAGTGGGCAAGAAAGGGTCACGAGGCCAAAGTGAAGACTGAGTCAAGCCCTGTGTCCACACAAGAGTAGACCCCAAGCCCGTCCTTGGAAAAGGCGAGAAACTGAGCTGCACATCCAGTGTCATGTTGCCCTGTCAGAGGCTGACCTTGGCAGCTCTTCTGCTGGAAAGTCCTGCACAGTGGGCATTAGAACACTGGATTCAGTTTCTGAGTCGCCCAGCCATGTAATGAAGCCCAGAGTCACCTCTTTCTGAATGTGTGACCCAGAAACTGGCATTTCTGTGAGCCTCAGTTTCCTCCCTGGGAATATGAGAGAAAAGTGATGCTGCTTTGTCTTGTATCTCTGAAGATGATACGTGCATCTTAGCGTGCAGCCTGGCTTAGTGAGCAGTGCCCAGGCGACAGTGACAGTCAGCAGTGCTCCCTGCTGCTGCCATATGATCATTCTTTCAGTTCCTTCCCTCCAGAGTGGCTGCTGCCTACCTACCGGTCCCCCTACTCTGACTGCTCTCTTCCCTGGGAGCTACTTTCTATAGCACCCAATGACCCACTTAAGGCTTATGCTACCTCACTGGGCTCTTGGTTGCAGCTTATCATTAGGAATGTGTGTTTCTTGAAGGCTCAGGCTATTATTTTAAGTAACATCCTGTACCCCAGAAGCTACTACAGGGTCTGATGTGTAGTAGGTACTCTACTATTGTATTTGCTGAATGACAAATGGTGAGACACATCCCTCAAGGGAGACTGACACGGTGCCTTTGTCCATGTAGAGTCACACAGTTGCACACAGTGCTCTCATTTTCTATGTCAGTTCTTGTCTTCCTGAGATTGGAAGTGCTTATGCCACTGAGCCATCTCCCCAGGCAGAGTCATCTTTTTAACATGCAAACAGAATGTTTTCATCCTTGGACTTGATCCCCTTTGATGACCTCTCATTGCCCTTAAAATAAAATCCACACTTCTTCATGGAGCCTGTAAGTGACAGACATGCCTGGCTTCTCTTATCCCACTTTCCTCAGGATACTTTGCCTCAAGGGCTTCTTTCATTGTTTTGGTTTTTTAAATTTTTTCTCAGTATTAAAAATTGAACTCAAGGCCTTTGCACTGGGCTACATCACTTTTTTTTTTTTTTTTTTTTTAACTGGGGATTGAACTCAGACCCTTGCGCTTGCCAGGGAAGCGCTTATTCTACTGAGCCATCTCCCCGGCCCCTATATCACATTTTTTAATACCATCTTGCCAAGTCACTAAGTTGTACAAGCTGGACTCAAACTTGGAATCCTCCTGCTTCAGCCTCGCATAATGTGGGGCTCTTAGGCCTGTGCCACCCACCTCTCCACAGGCCTTTTTTCTACCCCTTGAATACATGGAGCCTATCCCAACTCACCAGCTTTATACTCATATGTGCTATCTGAGACGCTTTTCCCAAGACCACTAGCAAGCTGGGGTCATGCCACCATTCAGCACTCAGTTCCAAAGTTCTCTTCAGAGAGTTCTTCTCAGGCAACACTGTAGGAAGTTCCTTCCCTTCCATGAGCCACGGGTTTAGGGTGTGGCCTTAGTCCACACTGCATTGCTACAACAAAGAATCATAGCATGACTACTTTATAATGAACAGAGAGGGATTTGGTTCATGGTTCTGAAGGCTCAGAAGTCCAAGATCAATGGACTTCATCTGGTCAGAGTCTTCTTATTCTGTCATGATACAGTGGAAGGCATGGGGGGCAGAGGGGAAGGGAAGGGGTGAGGGAGAGAGAGGCAGAGAGAAAAGGAGAGGGAGGGAGAGAGAAGGAGAAAGAGGGGGAGGGAGGAGAGGAATGAGAAGGAAAGAAGGAGGGAAAGGGAGGGAGATAGGGAGAAGGAGGGAGAGGGAGGAAGGGAGAAGGGAGAGGGAGGGAGAAAGAGGGAGGAGGAGAGGAAAGAGAGGGGAAGAGGGAGGGAAAGGGTGGGACAGAAGGAGGAAAAGGGAAAGATAGGGAGGAAAAGGGAGGGAGAGGGACCCAAAGGGGGGAAGGGAGAGGGGAGAGGGAGGGAAAAAGAGGGAGAGGGAGGAGAGGAATGAGAGGGAAAGAGGGAGGGAAAGAGAGGAAGAGAGGGAGAAGGAGGGAAAGGAAGGAGAAGAGGAAGAAGGAGGAAAAGGGAGAGAGAGTGAGAGGGATCCAAAGGGAGGAAGGGAGAAGGGAGAGGGAGGGAGAAAGAGGGAGGAACAGAAGAGGAAAGAGAGGGAAAGAGGGAGGGAAAGGGAGGGAGACCCAAAGGGGGGAAGGGAGGGGGGAGGGAGAGGGAGAGGACACAGGCAGAGCTTTCATGACACAATCAGCTCTTAAGGTCCTTCTTCCATCACTGTTGCACTGGGGACTTCATTTCTAACACTTGAAAAGGGACCCACTCAAACTGCAGCAGTACATCCTCGGGATCCTGCCCTGAGATGCACATCTATTTATGTGAAGTTTAGGATCAGTTCCTGGTCAGGACAGGGTGAAGGAAGCAGATCAAGTAGAAGACAGAGCTAAGGTGAGACACTGTCACATCAGGGCCTCTGCTGGTCCCACCAGGCACTTCTGGTAGGCAGGGGAAGAGCTGCCCAGTCTGAGGCAGGATGGCTGACTCGGTGGAAGGGAGAACTTGGCCAAGACCTTTCCTGAAGGACAGTTTCCAGAGAGGGACTCAGCTGAGAAGCTGTCAGCCTCCAGCATGCTCAGTAGTCAAGACAAATGCCTATGTCCCAAGAGGGACATTCCAGTGGCACCTGATGGCGTCTGCTACCCTCTCCCCTGGAACTACTCAGATCTACCTTTTGTGTTTTTTCCCGTGGGCAACTCCTCCAGGATTCAGGTTGAGTTCATTCTCTGGACAAGTTTACAAGAGGAGCATTAGTGGACCAGCCCGGCCCTAGCTCTGCAGCCACCCTCCGGGCTTCAGCAGACACCCCTGCAGCCTCTTCCACCCATCTCTTCACAATGGATAAGCATGCTGAAGATGCCTTGGCCTCACCTTAGCTACTGTCCTTGACACTGAAACATAATCCCCAGAGTCCACAATTTAAAGGAACAGAGATTTATTTCTACCCACATCAGTCTGTAGTCAGCTGGCTCTAAAGCAGAAGCAACACAGGAAAGGGGTGTCTCAGTTACTCTTCTCTCATTGCTGGGACAAATATCCAACACTAAAAATGAAGGAAGGAAAGGTTTATTTAGCTCACAGTCACTGGAGGTTTCAGTCCATACTCAGCTGACTCCAAGGCAGAGCGTCACACGGCCGAAAGCAGCCTTTCATGGTGGTGGCAAAGAACAGAGAGCAAAGGGAGGGGCAGCAGCTCAGGCAGCCAGCTGGCCTCTCTCCCCTCCTCAAGTTGTAATGCAGAGTGTCTGCCCAGGACACTCACACCCACAATGCCAGCAGTGGATCAAGAATCAACCAAACTCCAGAAGCCACCCCATGACTACATAAGGCTTTGGGGAGACACTTAGTCCCAAACCATAACAAGGGGCATGGTGGAGGAAAAGCTGCTCCCCAGTTGGCACCCAGGAAGCAGAAGGAAAGAAGAAGCAGAGGCAGATGGGCCCTTCCAGATCACAGTCCAGCGACCACCTCTTCTGGCCAGATCCCACCATCCAAGAGCACATTCAGCGATAGACTCCCATGTGGGTTAGTATAGTGCCCCACGACGCACTAAACCTCAACACCCGGCAAGATGGAGCCCTTGCCTGCGGGGCTGAGCTTTTGGCACTGCACCTTTCTCAGTTCACAGCCACCACATTTACTCACTTACTGACAGAGCCAGGTAAGAAAGGTCCCCCTGGATCACCCAGAAGGCAAGTATCTTCTCCCTGTCCCTGCCATCCTCCACTCTAGCAGGGAGCCAGAAGTGGCAGCCATGACTTGAGACTCCGCATGACTCTTGCTCTGACCCCTGGTGGCCACATATTGACTTGGGAACCAGAGTCCCCAAGCCCAGAAAGCCCAGAGCTGCTGCTGAATACTTCAGTCCTGAAGGACAAGACCTGAGTAACACACCAACTGGCCAAGCTGCCACACAACAGTCTTTTCCTCCATAT